CCACTTTAAAAAACTACACCTTAAAGATCAAGAAGTTAAACAGCTGTTTAATTTAGCATCTAATCTAATTTTGTGCAAATCTGTGTTTACACTGAAATAGAACTGGTCAGCTGGTCAGAGTCTATGATTAGCAGTTCACCGGTGATGACATGATTATTTTCTATTCATGGAAAGCACAAAAATAAACCATGTCTAAAGAAATCCAGCGGGGCAGCCAGTGAATGTGTAAATACGCAGACCATCGGTAACAGACATTGTTGCCTGAGGAACTCTGTGTCTCCACTGTAGCTGCCAGAGGGTGCATTGCATTTACTTGAAATCCCCTTTTAAAGCCTCCCAGTTAGTGTTTTCCACTGTGGGCAACCTGATTCGGAGGAGCATGGGAGGACTTCAGATTGTGTGTAAATATCACTTTCAGTTGTGCAGCAGGATGAGCTCATCCTAACCCCTGCCAGGTGATAATGACCCCTCACTCATTTTTAGAAGGGTCACACCAGCACAGCCTGCCCAAGTTAGAAACACGATGCTGTTTGGACTGTACAGTATGCAATACACTCTGACTGTACAGAAAAAGTGCATCGCATACCAAGATACATGCATCGGTGGTTTCTCTCTGTATCTTCTGCCTGACTTAACCGTCTTCTCTTCTTCCACTTGAAGGGCTAATTTATAAGGAAGTGAGTGAATGGGAGGAGTGGACAAGAAATGGAGTGATAAGAGGACAGCCGCCTCCTTTAGGTGAGTAATCATTATAACTCAGGGAGATAAGAAGAGGTGGGAAGGATGAATTGCAGTGAATCAATAGACACATGATGGGTATTTATGAAAAACATCACAAGGTTTTGTTTCACGAGATCTGATGCATAATCATACAGTATCATATGACTCTATAATGTAAAACTGCTAATGTTTATTTTTTTTTAAATCCCTTTATTCACCATTCAGTGCAAACACATTTAGACAATGTGGATGAACTAACAAATACAAAAATGTAAAACAGATGCACAGATTTTACTGATTTACAAAACATAAACATAAAAGGACACATGTAAGTATCGAGACAGAATGTGAAGAAAGAACATGGAAATAAAATAATTTAAAACAAGAAACTAAATTGAAAATAAAGAAGAAGACAAGGAGAAGGCGAACGGAAAAGCTAAACTGCTAATCCTTTGTATTTTATACAATATTCACTGAATACTTCATATATGCATGTATGATTTAGGGCTGCACAATTGTCTTTTTTATTGTCATTTCGATATCAACTGGCACTTTAAACACATTGGGAAAGAGTTTGAATATAGTAACAAGGTATTAAAATACTGTTTTGTCTGATATGTACAATGCTGTTAACTCTCTGGCCAATCAGACAGAACCCTTGCTGTAAGGCATTTTTTTTATTGGGCAGGATCTGCATGCATGCCAGTGAGATTTTTTTAGACTAGTGCTGCAGTCCTACAGGAGGAGAGTGTGACAAGCTGAGTACAGATGAAAGTGTGAATGCCAGACAGGAAGTGAAATAGCACATCCACCGTCTAGCAATATTTTGGAGATGATGTGGCACGAGCACAAGTAATGTGCAAGTCTGAGTCAAGAACTGATTGCACTTTAATACCTGTTTTTATATAGCAAGTGATATCATTATATTGATATTCAACAGTGTTTTTGCATATCATATATTTTCCTCATATTGTGCAGCCCTAATATGACTGCAAGTTTAAGGAAGACATCTACAGTAGGTTAAATCTGGGAAAAATGTGGTTTTAATATGTCATTTTAAGCAATGTAAGCAGTGTATTAGGGTCATAATGAGACATGAGAACAAAGATAAAATGTTTTATTAAGTAGAATTATTGTAAGAGTGCAGTGTTTTCACAGCGAAAAAAAATTATAAAGTTACACTAAAATTATGTATAACAGAGCTTTCATACAGCTCTGCACACACATTACTCTTGGATGGATTACTCGCGAATGCAGCATCGCACAGAAATGCCACGCATATCACATGAAAGCAGAGCTTTCCAGTGATACCACACACATCATTGTGCTGTCATCCCATCATGCTATAAATCCAGATTAATTGTCTACAAAATAAAAACCTGACAAATTTCTTTACAATCCATTATACAGATCTTGTTATCAGTCACTTCATATAGTGAGGAATATCGTATCTTACCACGTCTTAGGCTTGCGTGTGTTTCTCCCTGTCTATCCACATTTGTAGTCCGGCTTTCAAGATGCAAATATCTCCATATTGTCCAGTTGACACTCCATCAAACTTTGTATGACAAGATCAGCCACTTCACCTTTGCGCACCCAGACAACTGTAGCCTAATTTTGCATGCTGACAGGGCCGTAGTCACCCTATACATTGAGGGGGACACTTGCCCCCCGCCCCCCCCCCCAATATATAACTGAAACTGAAAAACAAATATTGTCTTGGAGGACATCATTGCACTTGGTTGAGTATTTTCCTATGATCTTAGATGTAAATATTGCATGTTTCTTTCAAATAAAACACATTTTTGACTTGTGAATGAGTCAATGGAATTTCTTGCAATAATGAAAAAATGCTGGCAATCATGTCCGCCTGGCACAAACCACATGTTTTGGACAGCTATGAAGTGACAGAATGCCCCACCATCATGGTTCTTATATTGCCAGATTCCAGAGAGTCACCCCTCTTCATATATGGCAGAATATGTCAACTTCCAACTTGCTATGGTGAGATACATGTAAAAATGTAAGAATTTAGTCACACGGATTTGTTTTTTTCATTGATATAAAAATTTATATAAAATACAGGCACATAGTAGGACATGAAATGATGGCAAATCTGGTTAGCCCAGATTGTCCTGAAAAAAACAAGATATAGCATGTGTATGTAGCCTTTACAATGACTGTGATATGAGCTTAAAAGTAAAGGCAGTAAAAATACCCCAAAAACGCCTAGGGCCCATAGGGTTAACTAGACATCTTTTGATCTGAAAATGACCAAATCTGGAAGTTTAAAGTTTAAAGGGATGGTTCAGATTTTTTGAAGTGGGGCACTTATCTGTAGTCAGTGTATTACTTGCAGTAGATGGCAGCTGGCACGCCCCCAGTTTGGAGAAACACGCAGGAGTTGTGACACACAAGCTGAGCTATGTACTGCTATGGATGGGGGGAAGCAGAAAAACTTATTTTAGCCACCAAAAAAAAAAAAAAAAAAAAAAAAAAGTATCAGTCTAAGTTGAAGCTATATTGAGAATATTTTCACTTCTTTACTCTGCCAGACAGCCTTTTCCTTTGGCGCTACATTTTCTCAACCACAGAACTTCCATATTCCTGCGCATAAGCATAACTGTGCCGCAGACTGTGTGACACAGTAGGTCAGCTGTATGAGTCAGACTTTTAGCGGTTTATTGAGGAGACAACACATACAAGAAAATTTAAAAAATGAGTCTTTATGACAGGGATGGCGAAATGCCTTCACAGTAACAAGAGAATACCATTGTGAACCAGAGCATTCAGAGGAAGACATTTTGCAGAGGGACACTGAATGCACCGAAAGAGAGAAATGTGTAAAGATATGAAAGTTCCACAGTTGAGAAAAGGTAGTGCCTTTAAAAAATGCCAACTATCGTTTTAAGGCACTGACTCAGCAGCTAACCCAGGCAGTATCTGTGTATTTGAATGAAACCTATGCGTTGACGTGTGTTTTTCGCAGCACAGGTGCAGCAGTGATCGACAGCCCCCCTCAGCCCACGTCCTCCTCCTCTTCGGCCAACGATGTCTCGTCCATGTCCACAGAGCCCACTGACCCGAGCAGTGACCCCACCATGACCTCTGAAACAGACAGCAGCTTGGACAGCCACACCTCTCTGGGTGCGCTGGCCTGCTGCAGATAACGCACACATACAATACACACACACCGGCACACAAAAAGCAAACCTTTCCTCATCAGTGTGTGTGTGATGGGAGAGGGGTTTAAGGCCAACCGAACTTCTCATGTTAGTTTGTAGAGCCGCGCTTTTAATGTACAGTTTGTTTTTATTTCCCCTCCCCCCTCTACTGCTGTAAATGATTGTGGTTTGAAAATGTATCATTATTACTGTATTTTTGCTGCAAAGAATCAGAGTATGTTTTGATGTGAATCTGTGATGTATGTTATGAAAGAGAGGGATTTGAGTGTACTTTACACATTGCTGTTTTTTTAGCTACTGCTACACAGTGGAAGACCACACTGTCGGCACTGCAATATTATGTTGAGTATATTTTTTGAATTGTTCATTTGGCATTTTTGTATTGTTTTTGGGACATTTGAATGACTCTACACCAACTCTCTTTTTAACTGTAGACTTTTAGCGCACTTCATCTTGGATCCAATTGAAAATGATTTTATTTTGATATCATCTTTCTTGTAGAAAGCGTCCCTTGGTGTATCCAAGTTTCTTAGTATTACGTCACCTCTGATTGTGTGCATCTTGACAAGCAGTCAAATGGTCTGTTGCCCTGACACTGACTTTCTTTTTTACTATAGCATACTGTAAACTGACTGTATTTTAACTTTAGTTACTTAGATGTAATTTGTAGGCGATGGTCTGTTGGATGAGGAAGAACAGGGTGAATGTAAGAGAACTGAGAAGTGAGGAGCCAGTGATTACTCTTAGCGCTGTAACAATTTCATAGAGGCCACTCCACTGGCTAGAATGAGTTCTGTATGTGGGGACTGTCACCAGAGACTAAGTCTAAATTAGTCACTTTACCCTTTTGTCAGGTTCGTTCAGACGTTATTCACAGCTGTCTGATATTTAACATGTTTAATTTAAGTGCCCTTAACTCAGTTCAGTGATTTTCAGTCCTCTCCGTTGCAGATGCTCCTCTCTCCTGTGGTGCGTCTTTCTGAGTTCTACCTCACACGTGCACACACACTCAAACACACGTTTTTTGAAGATACAGTATCATGGCACACATTATTTGAAAGAAATGCGAAAAAGAAGATCCATTTTTTAATTGTATTTGCATTATTTATTTATTTATTTCAAGCTAGGAGGCGTCTATTGTATGTAATGTACATTTCATTCAGAATTACTATTTATATGCATTTTGTTTCATTTTTTTTTTGTTTTCTGTGCAATATAATTCATAGATTAGTATAGTCAGTGATTGATCTGTACATTTTACTGTAGATGTATGTATGTTTTCTGAGAGTCAGGAAAAAGGCATTTGCTACCTGCCATGGTAACCTTTGGATGTATTTGATGGCTCAAATTCCCAACCTGTCCCTTTGCCCTTTTCATGGTTGGGCACTCCAGGCAGTAACCCCCCCCCCCCAGCATCAGCTCCCAGAATGCACTTTGGAGATTGTGACGCATATCCTGACCCTCTCTGGGCCACGCCTCAACTGACTGTTGTGGCTTCCTCTTTTAGTCGTTTTCCTCTCCTCCCATCTCCTCAAAAATAGAAACGATAGAATAGACTACGCATGAGTTTTCTCTGAGCACATCTGGTTTTAGTGCAGGTATATTTAGAGGAAAGACGGGAAAGCCATTCAGCACTACTGGGGTGATGCTGCAGTCTTCTGATGGTTTGACAGCGAACACTGGCAGCAAAGAGTTAAACCTGTTGTGGTGTGATTTGATCAAGCCAGTTGTGTGAAGTTTAGCCTTTGGATCTGAAATTGCCTCACTAACAGACCAATTATATACATCAGAAATGGAAACTGTCTACCTTCAACTCCAGCAAATAAAAGAGTTGAATTTTAATGTCTCATTGTTCTTTTTTTCCTGTCAAGTCAACATTTTTTTCAAGACTATGAGTTTTAAGGGGGACTGAACAGGGTGTGTATGGGAAAACTATACCTCATATCATCAATAAGGCTTTTTCTGCTTTCTTAAAGAGGAATTTAGTCAATAAATAATCAGCTACATGACCTATGATTTAACATGGTAAGGAATGGTAAAATGCTTGCTTGGTCCAGAGGAGTTCTCGTTTGGCACCGGCACTGGTCAGTGTAGGCACAAGACGGCTGTACTAAAGAGGACACGATGGCAAATAGTACTGCACTAGAGGTATTTGGTCTTAAAAGCTTTGGGGCTGGCTGGTCTTCCCAGTATTCAAGCTCCTCCTCCTCTGATGGACCAGATGAAGGCAGGTTGGTCTGGTCTAGTTGGTCTGTGTTCCCCCTGTGGTCAGATCTCCGAGGGTTTTGAAGAACTCCTCCATCTCTTTCTGGAGGAGAACGTTTCGGTTCTCTGCGTCTTGATGTGCCCGCTCCGAGTTCCTGAGTCGGATCTCCAGCATGTGGAACTTCTTCTTCTCCTGGTCCAGCTCCTCCTCGAGGCGGTTTACCTGGAACTGGTACTTAGAACAGGATTCCTCCAACCTCAAAAAAGAGAAGAGGAGATTATAAATAACAACTTGTGGTGATTTTAATGAGTGATTTGACAGGAAATGATGAGTGACTCATACTTACTTGCGAATGCAAGTTTCGTAGCTCATCCTCTGCTTCTTCAGCTCCTGCTTGAGCTCAGTCAGCATGTTGGAGAGACCTTCATTTGTTCCTGTGAGATCATCCTCAGCACCGCTTGCACTTTGATCCAGAGTACTTGTACTGTCCCTGGCCTCTGTGGGTTTCTCTTGACCCTGCTCTAATTTTACTGCCTTGTCGGTTCCCTCTGGCTCGGCCAGCGAGATCTCAAAGGACGTCCAGATGGAGGAGGTGTCAGCAGGCAGGCTTAGACTAGATGGGGCAACATTGTCATAGGCAGACAGTCTGTGGGATTGGAGGAGGGCTCTATGAGACAGAGGCATTTGAGAGGAGTCGTCATCAGAGTCTCTCTGTGTGTCCTTAAGAGTGGTCTCTTTAAGGGAAAGGGTCGAATCCTTTAGATTAGAGTCTTTAAGTCTTTCACCAGATGAGGTTGTACGCCTGTGAACTCGGAGGGACGACAAGCCGTTCATCAACCAGTTACTTCCACCAGCTGCCGACACATCACCTGCCGACCCCCCTATTTTCCCCCTGGGCCCCCCAGATGCTGTACCACCTTTGAAGGAGCACCTCCACGAGGGCAGGGCTTTAGACTGTTTACTGGGGCTAACAGCTACTTCACTTCCACCTTTCCCTTCAGTTTTGCTATCTGCTTTTCCATCCACTTCTGACTGACCTTTGCCCTTCCCTTCAATTTGACCATCCTCAACCTTCTCCGAGGTTGTAACAGGGCTTGGTGCAATCAGCTTACTGTCGGAAGAAGGGGTGGAAGGTTGGGGCTCTTCTTTGGGGGTTTTGGAGCCTGTACCTGAGGAAGGTGGGGTGTCAGTGTCTTCCTGTGAGACCCATTCCACTTTGCACCGCTGAATAGGGCTCAGCTGCTGCTGCGGAGGAATATTGGCCTCAGTTTCTGGCTCCTCCCGTTGGTAAAGTCGGGCGTGCTCACTGATCAACACAGTCATGAGGTGCTGCACCTGTGAACTTCCTGTGGAAGACATATACACATAAGTATTTACCTGCCTGAAATGTTTCATGGCATTGTACATTGAACTATATTGGAAAGCAAATATAGTCTGCAGGTCAAGGAGACAATTCACCCCAAATCAGAAATACATATTTTTCCTCTCCTCTTATGTGCTATTTATCAGTCTAGATTGTTTTGGTTTGAGTGTCTGAATGTTGGAGACATCAGCCGTAGAGAAGTCTGCTGTCTCTTGAATATATTGAAACCAGATGGCACTCAGCTTGTGGTAGTTAAAGTGCCAAAAAAAAGACATTAAAACAAACTCAACAGCAATGTCTCATTCCAGAAATTATGACCTGGTTACTCAACATAATCCACAGATGCAGATCTATTTTCTTTCTATGGAACTACAGCTGCCCACCATATCACTTCACAGAGGGAAGTGTGGATCTACTTATGGATGAGAGGCTCGAAACAGCGCAAGATATAAATATTAATGCCATCCTCTTCAGCTGAGCTGTAATGTTAGCTAGCTCAGTGGTGCTAGCTAGTCTAGCAGTAGATGCATGCTTTCTTCTGCAAGATGAAACAGTTGACAGGGTTGATCGGTAGACAGGAAATAGTTCCTACATTAAACTGCTCACAACACAATCTGTGGATTATATGAAGTAACCAGGTTATGATTTCTGTAAAGACACATTGCTGTTGAGTTTTTCGAATGTATTTTTTGGTGCTTTGAGCACCTCAAGCAGAGTGCCATCTAGTTCCATTGTATTCAAGAGAAGGAAGACATCTGTATGGCCAATATCTTCAACTCAAACCAAAACTAGATTAATAAATAGCAGGTAAGAGGATAAAAATATATAATATATATTTTATTTTGGGGTGGCCTGTCTCACTAACATATGTTGACATTGTCACCAACCCTCCATCATGGTTACTGGATCCTCAACTCTGGGTCGAAGGATATTGGGTCCAAACACAGTAGCCAGATTCTGAACACTCATCTTATTCTCATTGGAGTGAGATTGAACCTCATCCAGAAACCTGACAAGAAAGTAGCAAAAGCAGAACTTGTGTAAAATCATCCCTCGTTCTGTTCCTGTCTAGTAAAATTCAAACTAATGAAAAGGAGGACTGAATCATGATTCTGGCTGGTGTGTGGGTTCAGCTGATGATATTTAAATAGATGCAGAAGGCAGAGAAGACATGCAATTATACACACTCAGAGTCTATCAATGTGATGTCACTTCCCCTGATGACGAGGGTGTGGGTGTAATGAATGTTATTTCTCTTGTGTGACAGGCCGACAAATCCTCAATCATCAAACAGTGAATGTGACATAGCAGCAACAAAAAACCCCATCACAGTCATATCTGTGGGCTCAGCAACTACTGAAATATACAGCAGACAACAGGGCGGTGATGACTTACTTGCAGATGTATGTGAGGAGGTTGTAGTTGACCTGAGGAAGGGATTTCACCTGTTTGCCAAGCTCTACAATACCCTTGAAGAAAAATAAGACATGTTTATTGTCAAGGCAATAGGAACAGGAAATACACAAGTGAAATGTTAAGCAGACATGTAATTACCATTGCTTTGTCCATGGTAAGAAGTGGAGCACAGGAGAGAAACTGTGTGTATTTGGAGAATGGGATTATAGGCTCCGGCAGCTCCCGTATGTACAGCTTTAGTAGCGATGCCACTGTGTGGACATCTGTGGTACTGTAAGAAACAAAGAGTAGACATACAGTTACAAACAGATGATTGCTTGGCATGCTATTGTAGATAAAATGCCCCCTCCCATTGCATCACCTGTCAAATACTGGCTTCTCGCCACGGTCAAATGCATCCTGCAGCTCTCGAACATGATTGGTCTGTCCAGGGGCCCTGAAAAGACCCTCCTCCTGGAGCCCATGTTCGCGTATGAAACACACGCACTGTTCGACCAACACAGGGACCAGCCGCTGAGGGCCACACTGGGCCTCGTATAACATTGTCTCCTCTAGGTGCTGCCCAAAGACACCTGCAGCCATACAGAAAATTAAATCAGGTCATTAGTAGCACAAAATGTTTCCTTGTGTGTACCCAAGAAGTTTACGTCCCCTCTTTAAAGCATTAATAATATATTTGCTCAATTTTTGTTGTGTTTGCGTGAATGTTTAATAAACACACCTCCTCCAAGCGGAGCCCATATGACTCTACGTATAGCTCTGACCCACTCCTCCATGTCACTCTGAGAGTTGGCCATCAGCAGGAATGATTCGTGGCTTATGCCTGTTCGATCCTTTTCTCCAGCTCCCCCTGAAAACACAAACATATTTCATTACTTTCTGGATCAATAGGACAAAATGACTAACACACCTCAAAGCCACTGTGCTTCAAATATGTGAATACACTCACAGAGCAGATATCACTTTTAAAGACACTTTGCTGATCACACAAACTGTATCATCTACGAAGAAGTCGCTTTTACCAACTAGAACTCTCAGTATTTCCAGTGCAACCTTATTAGCTCCAGCACCCCTGTAAAGTACAAAGAGGCAGCCATGCAGCTCTGCCTCCCTGCCTCTCCTTCCTCTGGCTGCACACAGCTTGATACCACCCGCTTTGACATTTTAGTTTGACATTCTAGTTTATTTTCAGTTTAGCTTTGATTACACTTTGTGAAATTCTCTCCCTTTCAGTGACTTTTTAATCGCTTGCTTCTGAAGAGGTGGAAGCATTACTCAGTTACAGATGGAGATAAAAGCAGCAAAGCCACCATTCATAAAAATGTTTTTAGTGATGAAATCCTTCCTATAAATGCAATCCAAAAGACACAGATTTTTGCGAGTGGGTTTGGTAGGGGTTGCTATCAGTACCTGCATTCATTACTACGTCCTGCATTGTGGTGCATAGTGTGTTGTGTGTGAGAGAAATGACCCAGAAAGCGTAGTGTTCCCTGTGGACACCAGCAAATGCACCATGCCTCTCACCATGTCTCTTTTGTCTTTCTGTCCAGGACCTTTTCCTCAGCAACTGTTATGAGACCATACTGGTGTGTTTGCATGTTTTACCTCATTTGCTACAAATTACACATCGTTTGCATGACTGCCAACCATTTTCCAAAGCACAGTGTTGTCTTTTAGATTCTGAATGGGTTTTTCTTAATTTACAAGCAGCTATTGGTCTCCATTTTATTGTATGGTGACGGCCTTATGGTGAACTGAGGGTAATATATCAGAATAAGCATCATATCTTTTTTCACGACCATCAAAATTGAGTTTAATGCTGCTGTGAGATGATTTGAAACCAGCAGCTGCCTGGGATGAGGAAAACATTCATGTTCCAGATCATTGCACATCACTGCATGTGTTAGTCAACAATTCTGCATAGTTCATTATTTAAAAAGTGATCACAGATCAATATCAAACTGCAGAATTGCAGAGCTGCAATACGTTTAAAATGTGCTGCCTGAATTATCAATATAATATTGACTCAGGTAGCCCCCTGTCTACATAGTAAATGAGTTAAAACATCTGTAAACACTGGAATGGTCCTTAAAGATGCATAAACATACAAAAACACAGAAAGGCCACATGCATAATTAAAAACACTAAACTGCTACAGCCTAAATGTTTTACACCCACAGCAGAGAACACATGTGATAATGATGCAGTGTGTTCCATTTGGCCCGACGCAGCCCTGCAGTAGCTGCTAAATCTGCTGACATTCATGTAATTCTAAACACAGGTAATGTGCTGTACATTCAGTGAGGAAGAGCTTACTTTACTTTTTATGCTCCACCAAAAGCTGAGACAATGCAGCAGAACAGAGAGAGAGATGACATACCAGTGTTGTCAGACATGATAGGTGAAAATGTCACAAGTGTGTTTCTATTAATTTTTTTTTTGTTTTCTCTACAGGACCTTTGATACAATACACAAAGACCCTGTTAATCTGGGCAACACAGAGAGTCGCAGAGGGAGACTTGTGGCGTTACAGTATTTCTACAATACATCCCCCTCATTGATGATCAAAGTTTAAAAAATGTACTTACTACAATCATTAATGGAAACATCCCCAGGATAAATTCTCAGGATGTTACTCAACCTGCTGCAGTAATCACCCATGTTGAACTTCTGCCCTCAGTAGAACTGAGCAGTGGTGACCCTTACGAAGACCGGGTGCTTGCACGTGAACCTATGCTGATACAACCCAAGATGCTAGTCCATGAGATTCATACAGAGACACTACCATCACAGCCAGTAACTAAGCAAATTGTATCATGTCTTCCAACTTCTTTCTTTCTTTCTTTCTTTCTTTCTTTCTTCTTCTGATCTCTCTACTGTACATACTGTCCACTGTTCGGACTGTAATCATGCCAACCCCACGCTGTCAACAGCAGAAATGAATGAAGCTGTTGTTGTACCCTCGGACACACGACCGTGGAAATCACATCCTTTATGCTGTTCTGCATATTTCATGCATGCGTTGCGGCCTGTGACTCATATGTAGCTATTGGTTTACTTCTGTTTTCCATCCATCACTTTGATTCTGTGGCGGCGAGGTTTACGCAGTAGAAATTACCTGCTGTGTGTATGGTATGATCATAATTTCAAGCAACACAGAGAGATGCCATTTTGGATTAACAACAAACCTGGTATCAGGTTAACGTTCTAGTGGTTGTGGTATATGCCCTGATGTTGATGATTTAGGTTTCATCACCCTCTGTGGCACTCTTAGTCAGACTCCAGCTTTAATCTTGATGTCTTTTTTGCAAAACAACATTATAAGTTTTGGTACTGGTGAGAAGTTATATCAGATGTGCTTCATCACCTCAGGATTTAGTCTAACATACAGCTTTTAAAAAAAATCTTGTCTTGGATGACACTTAGTAATAAACAGATGGCTCAGCATCACTTGAACAAGCCTTACTTACTGACTCGCTTCCTTGCACACCAAGTCGTCTGTGCCAACTCACCTGGAACGATTTCAAACGGGTGACGACCAGGCTCATCCTGATTGGCAGGCAGCTCATTGACCTGACTGCCCTGAAGAGGAATACAACCCTGCGAGAGAAAGGAGAGGAAGGTGTGAGACAGACAGATAGAAAGAAAGACTGACAGGCGGCCAGGCATGAGGAAAACACCTGTACTAACGGTATTCAAGGGCCAAACAAGAAATCAATTAGTGGTTCTGGACTTGGACGTGTAGTGCATGTTAAACATTATAGAGTTCTGAGTACACTGAGCTCTGGGCATCTGTCCAACAGAGGGAGGTAATGATGATGGAGGGAGGGATGACTCAGGGAAACATCTCTTCATCTATTTATCCCTGTGGAGCTTCCTGTACTGTGCATTTCTGATCCTTCCAGCATAGATAGGCTCAAAGGTCATCTACTAAGTGCTTACAGCAGAACCACAGGGCAGCTAGTTACCACATTATCGGTGTGTGTCAGGGCAATAACAACACACTATAACATTAATGGAGAGTATGGGGTTGTCTTAAAGGAACACTCCACCCACAAAATGATCATTTGTATATCAGTTACTCACCTCATGTTATCTTAAATTCATGACGAAAACTTTGTTTTTCTCGCATTCCTCCATGGTGAACGAAGAATCAAAATACAGAGAAAATTCTTGATGAATTGGAGTGAATGGGGGCCACAATTAACAACAGCAAAACTATATTAAAAAATCTGTTTACAAACTCTTGTACAATTTGTGCAGTATCATTCAAATCTCATTTATCCAGTTGTATGCTGAGTACTTCCCAAACCCATGCATTTACGCCAAAACCTTCTGATTTAAAACATTACTGCATGAGTATTCTGCTCGTAAATTCCATTATTGGAGTTAAAACACACACACACACACTTGCCCAAGTGGGTTACTTTTCCATGTGAGACTGATGCTTAAATGTGAGAGTTTGTTAACGTATGTTTGGATATAGCTTTGTTGTCCCGATCCAACCCGAATTTCAATAATTTTCTCCATTTTTGGATTCCTTGTTTACCTTAGAGGCTTGTGAGAAAAACATTGTCCTCAGTGTAACCCGAGGTAAGTAATTCATATACAAATGATAATTTTGTGTGTTTTCCTTCAAAAAAAAAAAAAAAAAGATAACAGCATGTAGCTTTAAAAGTCACTGTCACATAATGCAGAGAAGTGCTACATTTTACTAGAGGGCTACAACATGTATTTTACTGCCTGATTTAAAGGAATCAATAAGCCGTTTACACAGTTGGATAGCACAATGGATCGACTGGCCCGGAGGGAAAACACTAACCAGACAAATTCATGAAGCTTGAATATGTATCAGGCTTCCAACCAGAATTAATCCGAGCGCACAGCAGTGCAGCCTCCTGGGGCACCAGGTGACATCTGGTAACTGTCTTGTACATGTGTTATTCTGTGAGCGTCACCTGTGCCTTAGTTTCATCCTGGTCCTTGTAGAAATACAGAGCTTCGGTCCTCAGGACAAACCATCGCAGCTGCCAGTTTTTCATGATACTCCGCTGTCTCTTCAGCCAGCCTGCCTTCAGTGCTTTCTCCTGATCCAGAGGAGAGCAGGGCCTGGAGACCCGAGACAACTCTCCGAGCACCATGCTCTTGGACCGTGCTACATGAGCATAAGAATAAAAGAAAGACAGAGTGAGATAAAGGCATACAGTTACATGAAGACAGAGGATTCATGTTATTTTAGGATTTTCTGTCTATGTTGTTTTGCCATTATTCTAAAAATTCACCCACAGACGATCCTGAATCATTATTCACAGAAGTCTCTCTTGGGTTCAGCTAAGCCCACAGGCTTGACCATGCATCCAGATTTCCTCATAAGTCAATCTACCAAGGCATGTCCTCCATTTTGCAGCGCAGACATCCTGCTTTAACATGAAATCTATCTCTCTATTCCATTACATTTTATTATGTGCTTCAGATATTAATGAGGGCATTTATCATTTCTAATTTCATTGCGGTGCAGAGAAGAGTTTTGCTTTGGATCAGGTTGCATTTTAACTGCTACAGACCGATTACAAGCCTGGATTATAGTATATTAGCATAGGTATGCCAAAGGTATAGAGCAAAAACAGCGACAGTAGAGTGATCCCTGGGGAGTCAGGGAGAGGGAGAGAGAGGGAGAGAGATAAACAGACGGCAGATGGAGAGGAGAGAGAAATCAATGGCGTCTTTTTTTCCTGTTAATTGCATCTTGCTTTCTGCTGAGGACAGCAGTGAAGGTATCTGCAAGGGCCTGGACTGAAATCTCTCTCCTGCTTCCTCTCTTTCTCTCTCGCTTATCAGCTCTCTGTCTGGACTCCTCTTTTCATTTCTCCCCTTTCTGGATGTCCTTCATTTGCAGAGTCATGATTGCTGGGAAGGGACAAGACCAGAGACCACGTGAAACAGTCATTAACAAAACTGTACGCTGACAGCAGGAGCAGGCAGAGCAGGAGCTATAAATACAGCGGACGTGGCCGTGTCTTGTACAAAAAGAGGCAGGAAATCTCAAAGAGGAACTGCTTTGTTTTTTTAAATCTACTGTCAGCAAAGAACTGTTAGTGTACACGGATCAAAGTGTTGCCCTTTCAGGAAATAATGTTACTCAAAGTGCATCACCTCATATTTAATAACATAATAAACTATGACATTATTAGTGATAATCAGTGTTGGAAGAAGTATTCAGATCTTGTACTTACAACCCATATAATGCCACACTTTGAAAATTACAGGTAAAAGCTCTGCATTCAAAATTTTAGATTAGTAAAATATTAAAATATTATCAAGAGAATGTATTTTAAGGGACAGTTCACCCAAAAATCAAAAATGCATATTTTCCTCTCACCTGTAGTGCTGTTTATCAGTCTAGATTGTGTGGTGTAAGTGTCTGAGTGTTGGAGATATCAGCTGTAGAGATGTCTGCCTTCTCTTGAATATAATGGAACTAGATGGCACTCGGCTTGTGGTGCTCAAAGCACCAAAAAACACATCTGAAAAACTCAACATCAATGTCTCTTTCCAGAAATCATGACCTGGTTACTCAAAATAATCATCAAAATTTGTTGTAAGCAATTTCATGTAGTAACTATTTTCTTTCTATTGAACTACACCCACCCACTGTATCACAGAAGGAAGTGTGCATCTACTGCTAGCTCACCTAGCACCACTGAGCTAGCTAACATCACAGCTCAGCCGAGGACGATGCCATTAATGTTTACATCTTGTGCTGCCACAATGCAAACCTCTCATCCATGAGTTGAAGCATGCCTTATTAAAATACATGAAAAAAACCTATACAGCAGTGGCTACGGTTACATGATAGCTTCTCATTTGGAATGAAATAAATCTGAATGAAATCATTCGGAATTAAAGTCTTTCCAGGTAGTTTACATGGGAAATATTCATTTCGAATGAGGGTTTACATGGGAAATCAGTTCAATCGCCTTTATTCAGGTCTGCGCAAGGTTTGGGGCAGGGAAGGTTTCTGATTGGATAGGGGGCGGGGCAGATGTTACGTGTTTACGTTTACCGGAAGAAAACACTGTATAGTCCTCGCTCCGGATAACAAGATGCTTGACGACGCCATTCTTAGTGCCTTTTTCGGGCGTGTTTTGCTTATATTCTTGAAGCAGCAGTACGACAACAACCTTGTTCTGCTAATACTTTGTCTGTTGAGGAGGAGAAGGGAGGTAGAAGACCGTGCTGTGGCGAATGGAAACCGGTGAGTGCAACAAGTCCGACTGCTCTATCTCAGCCTGTTGCTATGCAGCCCGTTGCTATGCGCGCTATATACGTCATCGCGCCAGAAGGGCAAGGAAACGAGCATGCGCAGAAAGACCGGAATGAACTTAAAGAGGAATGAGTGTATACATGTACACACAATTCTTTCATTCGGAATGACAAACGGAATAAACCACCCCCTTTAATCGGATTTAATTTTCAATCGGAATGACAGTTTTTCAATCGGAATGACCGTTTACATGACCACTTTTAATCGGAATGGCCTTTCATTCCGATTAAAAGTGGAATTAAACTGTGCATGTAAACGTACTGATTGTCTCTTTCCAGAAATCATGACCTGCTTAGTTGACATAATCCACAGACCTTGTTGTGAGCAGTTTCATGTAGGAACTATTTAATTTCTACTGAACTACACTCCCCCAGCCTTATCACTTTGCAGAAGGAAGTGTGCGTCAACTCATGGACGAGAAGTAAATATTTTCATGTAAACATTAATGGCAGCGTCCTCAGCTAGCTCAGTGGTGCTAGGTAGACTAGCAGTAGATGCATGCAGTCCATATCTCCAACACTCAGCAACTCACACCAAAACAATCTAGATAAATAAACACAGGTAAAAGGAAAAATATGTTTTTGGATTTTGGGGTGAACTGTCCCTTTAAAGTAGCCTCTCAAAAGTAAAAGTACTAATAATGCAAAGAAAAGCACCTGTGACCATTTCATGAGTGTATATTATATCAATGAGTTATTTATATTGATTCAATGTGTACGCATCATATTACTGTTGTAGTCGGGTAACGTGGAGCTAATTTTCACCATCATGTGTGCTTTTGGGTAGATTAATCTCTAACAGTGCATAATGTTTTATAAACTGATCATATATTTTGAATGCAATATCTTAATCTATAAAGAAAGTAGTGAATAAAGTTGTAAAATGAATGTAGTGGAGTAAGAAGTACAATATTACCCTCTGAACTGTACTGTGGTAGAGGCATACAGTACAGAACAGTACCTCAAATGTGTACTTAGTAATATTCCAGCACTTGTTATGTACAGTATGAAAATGGCCCCAGTCAGTGTTACATTACATCATAACCACATTAATTATTAACGATGCATTACTGTAGCATTTGGCTGTTATGTTTGGTCGCAGTGGAGCAAATTTTAACTACATTATTTACTGTTGGGTAATTTAATCTAACAGAGTGCATCACATTTACAATATTAATCTGTAAAGTAGTTATAGCTGTCAAATGAAAAGGAATAAAAAGCAGTTTTTCCATCTGAAATGTAGTGATGTACAACATTTAAAACACAATGACTTGGACATAATAACCTACTGTACACTACAAGTTTGTACTGTACTTGACTACATGTACTAAGGTCCTTTCCATCACCACTAGTAAAACTTTTAGATATTAAATTCTGCAATTTACTTCATATTAAGAATTAAATTATTCAGCTAATATCTGTATGATTTATCATTGATCATTCATAATCACACACATATTCATGGGCTTTTTTTTTACTATCATATAAATGAGATCATGTTTATATTTTCTGATGAATATGGTGCAGCATCAAACCTTCAGATTGGACAAAGTCTCATTAGTAAAATCTTTAGGAAATTATAAAATGTCATGAAGTCTTAATGGTAATTTTGCGCCTATGGTGTCTCAACATAATCATTTCTTGACAAAAGCACTGTATTATTCATTCAAACGTCCTCATATTGGCAGTTTTTCAGCCACACGGATAATGACAGAAGCCTCAACCACATCCGAGGTTTACCAGTAACTTCCTGTAAGTCCCTACACCACTTAACTACTTTAGGATTCTGCTCCGATATCTCGGCTTCTGAGTGCAGATCCAGCTCTGTGATGCTGTATGATGCTGCATAAAAGGGTCAGAGGCGAGCAGAGCTGGGAATCTAATCAAAGGAGAATACCATTACAGCAAATGAGAGATGGCAAGCGCACAAAACGTGGCAAGCAAAGTGAAGTGGCTACTGCATTCTCCAACTGTGCTCAAGGAGAAGGACGAGGCACCTCTCCTTCCCATCATCTTTTATGGCCTTACTTTTACTGCTGGTTTAGAATAAGACGGCTGCCAGGTGAGAAATAAAACAACAGCATGCCTAAACACACACACAAGGAAGGATTCTTGGAGCTGCTGCTAGCCAATACATTACTCTGGGATGTCCATTTTCATAGAAAGATGTGAAAGACACTCTCCTGTCAGGGTGGAAATGCCACTGTAACAGCAATTTTGTGGATAATCTTCCCTATAACCCAATACTAATCCATTTCTTTGAGATAAGCTGGCAACTGTCACAACTCCCCAGGTCACCTGACACAGCGTGTGTCGGTTGTCTATAGCAACCACCTGCTACGAGAAGTATTTATACTCCGCATCATGATGATCTGCAGTGCCAGGGGTTGTTCCTGTGATTTACAGCTTCCTTATTCATCTTCACGCAGTCATGTGAGAGGCATGTATGTGCGGCATCCCGACTTCACTGGTCACAAGTGGGTTTTACCCAGTGTTAGAGGAACTATGTTTGACAGTCAGCTGTTGTGATTTACAGGAGCGGAGAGCCCTGCATTCCTTTCGCCACCTCTGATCTAGAGTCACCTGTCAAAACCACGCCAACCCAGAACTAACCCAATAAACCCTGAGCAAATAGAGATGTGGTCATGTGCTCAGGTGTGAACATGTCAGGATGCGGGCCATTGTTGGAGGGTGGATTATCCTACCAGCAGCCATGTTCACTACAACCCACAGTATCTCCACCAGGATCAAATCTTCCAGGAATGAGGAGAGTATAATCAGGAGACATGAGGGATTACATCACTCCGTAGTAGAGCCTGTTAACTCTCAATGAGCATTGGACACAGAAGATAAAGCCTCAACGCTTGAAATCATGCAAGAAAACTCAGGTCATTGCTGATTGTCACAGGGATGCAGAATGACACCGGTGCTACTAACATGGCGCTGTTCCCCCCTTTTTGATGTCATTATCAATGAAAGCACTGACAACAATATTGATGTTACATTATTGCAAAGACAGCAGGACAAATGGAGCTCTGCAGAGACAGCAAGAGAAAAAGACAGAAAAGAGAGAAGGCTGCAGAGAGAAAGAAGCAAGAAAGCATGGAAAGGCAGAAAAGAGATGAAGGGATGGAGGAAAGGGGAGTGTGCTTACCCCGGCGTGCCTGTTTTATCTTGGGGCTCAGCATGGTTACCGTTGCTGTGCTGCTCCCTCTCACAGAGACATGACTGCATCCCTCTGTTCACACACTATTCCTCAAACACACACACACTCACACTCAGAGGCTCTCGCTGCTGCCTCGCCCTGTTACTCCTCATCCTCTCCGAGCATCTCTCTCCCCGGCTCACTGTCTAGCACTTGGACACTGTCTCTGTCTGATTTCACACACGCACACTTACAAGCACTTAACCACACACTCTCCTCTGCCTCCCCTCCTTTCTTTCGTCTCACTCCCCCTGTCTGTCCCACTGGCCCGGCGTGCTGTTGTTCTCACATACCTAGAGCCCTGCCCACTCCCTCTCTCTCTCCCCTCTCCTCTCCTGTCTGTCTCTCTGCCTCCTGCTGCACACTCTCAGTATCAATTTCTCACCGTCTATAAATATGTCTGGCTGTGTGTCCTCTGTCTTGTCACCCATTTCTTTACATTGGCTCCTGCATTGCTCCACAGTCTTCACAATCCCTCCAGCTGTTTGCTCATGGAGATTTGATTATGGTCTCCTCTGTACCTGAAGTACAACCTCAGATCAATACATTTGATTTAACTGACACCATCCTGGCCATTAAATGTTTGATGCAGAGCACATATTGTCTGCACCTATAAGCCATTGCAGATGTGTAATACATTTGGGTGGACACGTGTGAAAAACTGACAAAACTCCACTGCACAGCGCTCATATTGAGTAACCCGAGTCATTCAGGCTCAGGATTTATAGTCCGAGGGGAAATGCCACATCGCTCAGTCACTCAGCAATCTGTAGGATGAAAGCCACAACACTCAAGGGTGTGATGTTCTTGTTTCTATTCAGCCTGGTTGGGTTGTGTTGGGTGTGATAAAGCAGATAAATGCTGGATGAGAGTAAAATGCAGTACAGGGACACTGCTGACTGAGCTTTCTCATAGGGAAAAATAACCTACTTCGCTCACACGTAACAATCAATGAAAAAGGTTCCTGCCATACACTGCTTTAATAAAGGCTTTATAAAGGAGTGACAGTAGAGGCATAACTATGGGGATTTAATTCTTTACATTTTCAAAACTACCCTGACTCCTAGATATGGTAGAGAAATGGTGTGGGGCCAGATAAATACCCTAAAATTAGAGCTTAACTTTATATGAGAGCTCAGATAGCCAGGAAGTTGGACTCTATGAAAGGGTGTTGCGAGATACCAAAGTTGACAATAACCACAATGTTTAAAAATGAAATATTGATGTCATGTTAATAATACACATATGATAATATTGTGTGAAAAATAATCCATAGTCTCCTAAATCATTTCTGTTTCTGTCTGTTCTCGGTTTGTCTCCCTCCATCAGCATCATATGGTTGCCTTTTCATGATCCATTAAATGTAATTTTCACGCTTTTGTTCATTTATGGTTACATCCTCTCTCCCCTTCTCCCTACACTCATATTTCGAGTGTACAAGTAATTAATTCCCCTAAAAGGGACAAAATACACAATAAACAAAGCTAAATTTGACTTTGACTGATAGAATTATTCCTTCTTTTTTCCCCAAATTTCAAGAAATACTGCGATAATATCATTATTGTGAACTCTTTTGGCCATGCTATAATCGTGTAGTAAAACTCTGATATCATGCCAGTCCTAATCGTACACGACACAATAGGTCATCACCTTTCTTGATAAAATGATCATTGCTCTAAAACATAAAAAGACAGAGCTTTACCTGCCAATTCCTTTGGTTTGTCACTGGCGAGAGGAGTCCTGGATGATCTCATGACAGTGAACCCGTCTGCACAGTGTGTCCCTCTGCACTGGGGCCATCTCTAGAGCCACAACACACACACACACACACACACACACACACACACAGGCACACACACAAGCACACTCCGAGTCTAAACAACGGCAATACTGAAATCTCAGTCCTCTGCTTAATTGATAATCACCAAGAACCAAATCAAATGACATTCACATACCCAAAGAGAAGGAACTACTATAGCTGCCATCAGTAACACAGCAATGACGTGAGCCTGAAGAATGCTGATGTGAACAGACTCTGATAGAAGGAAGGAAATAAAGACAGTCATGCGAGTATTACTTGCCATGTCATCTCAGATGGGCAGACCAGACGACTCTGAGTCTGGAGCCTGACTCTCCGTGCTGCATAAGAACGCATCAAACAGTCCCAAGCAGCTGCTGTGATAGAAGCGGCTTTACACAGAAATAAAACACAGCTGTGCGATGCTCTCCTGCTGTCCTGCTCTTTTGAATTTTTTTTAAGTCTGTCTCTTTCTAAGGAAGTGAGCTGCCCTGATGGAGAAGTGAAAACTGCTGACTTCTATGTAAAAAATATTATGGGTTTCTCCCTCAGCTTTTTTTACTGTACATTTTTCCCACTCACAACGGAGTAAAAATCAGTGCTCTGGCTGTTAGTGATCCGACTATGTAAATTGAGAGGGAAGGGCACAAGCTTTGAATTTAAAAAGCTTTTCAATGCCAGTCTCTCTCCAGCTACACAGTCAGTGATGGAAAGTATCTAAAGACATTTACTCTAGTACTCAAGCATGATTTTAACACATATGGACTTGAGTATTTCAATTTTATGCTACTTTACACTTCTACCCTCCTAATGACGCAGGCCCGTCGTTAGGAGGGGTCAAAGGGCACAGATGACCCCAGCCCAAGGCCCAGGGGCGTCCATGCAAAAGTCTATGCACCACTGGTGTGGGTGTGGCTGAATTTTGAAAATTTAGTCCCCCTGTTCTGTAATGAATTGCTTTTAAAAGTCCTTTTACGATGCATTTCTTTTGCATCTTGTCTTGATGCTTTTGATGTTTTATGTGAAGTACTTTGAAATGCTTTGTTGCTGAAATGTGCAGTATAAGTACATTTGATTTGCCATGCCTTGTTCATATTTCCTAGTGGCTGGCCTGGCAATGAGGTTGCAGAACTGAAATTTCTCCCGTGTGCAAAACTTTTCGGAGAACTACGGTGGCCGACACAAAAACTCGAATGACTCTATCTAGAACCAGTGTTTGATTTGTCAATTCTGGGCCACTGTGGAAACAACATGGCCGACTCCAGAAGAGGCCCCACTCCATATATGGATATAAATGGCTCATTCTAAGGTGACGAAAACAAATCTTAGTTTCAAGTAATCCAAACATAATTATGAATATTATGTTCCATTCCTGCCAATAGATCCTACAAGTCCTACATGCTGGGCCTTTAAAAGTCCAGTGTGAAGAATAGTTCTATCTTCATTACCTTAGAATGAGCCATTTATATCTACATACGGAGCAGGTCCTCCTCCGTTCGACCTGCCATTTTGCACATTAGCCCAGAGTAGACAAACCAAACACTGGCTCTGGAGAGGGCCTTCTGTGTTTTCACGCTACCTGTAGGCCACCGTAGTTCTGAAAAGGGAGGGGTGTGCAGAGGGGAATTCAGTTGATTGCAATAAGCAACCTCATTGCTAGATGTCACTAAATGCTGCTAACTATCTCAGTTCTTCGTCTTCCACTGTACAGTTAGATAAAAAGAGAGTCTCTATCCAGTCTTCTTAAATGGCAGATTTCTGTGATGTTTTTTATTAAGCATATTTTTCCTACAGCATAAAAAACATTACGGCACACATGAGGTATCATCCTGGAAACAAAAAAAGATAAAATACATTAGTACATCTTAAAATATATTTAAATATCGACAAGTGGCAGCCATTAAATACAATAACACTGACCCAGAGATGGAGAAGTACAGTAAAAGCACTCACACCACTCCATATGCATGACAGGCAGTTCAGTAGACACTAAATAATACCATGTGATGTAGCCGCTCACATAGTCCAGACACACCAGCCTCTGAGGGGTGTGGGGAACATCATCTATAATCGAGAAATATGGTCCTGAGGGACACAAAGGAAATGAGTCTGTTTAATTGAAGGCATGAAAAGAGCATGTCTCATTAGTGAGAGCAGAGGAAGTGTCATGGCCCGAATGACTGGGAGCAGGTCGGAGAGGTAATGTCATTATGTTAGGAACAAAGTCTTGCAGTGTACCTGCTCTTAACCATTATCATACTAATGCTAATGTTAAATGGGTACACAAATCTTCACAGCTTTGAGCAATGCTTTACATCATGACACTTTTATTCAGAACAATGGTGTTAAAAAAAGCACGCTGATGTGGAATATAAAAACAGATAGGAATGTAAGCTTTCACTCAGAGGCATTCCCTGCTAAAACACAGTTTTGGAAATATCCAACACTTAACACAGAACAATGTAAACCAACAAGTTAATTATTAGAACATTGTTACCTTAAAAGTATTCAGTGAGGTCTCTAAAAACTAGTTGAACATTTAAACTCTTAGTGGTAGTTATCCTGCTAGCCACTGCTGACGAATCAACACTACAGCCTACTGTATATTAAAATAGAATATTGAGATATCACCAAATTCTACATTCAAGTACAACATGTTATATGGCATTAGAGAGTTATTGAATCTAAGGACATTATCACAAGGTTGAGTGCACACCAAAGACTCTGTAAACTGGGAAGGAAGTGAGCGATGAAACAACAGCCGGACACAAGACAGTTTTAAATGTCTATGGCAGTTTTGTCCTCTCTTGTTTGTACGCTGCCAACCCGTCTGCGACCCTCCAGCAGAAACGACAGCACGATAACCCATCGCTGTATTAGTGACCTCTGCCGCACTGAGCTCTCACACTGTCTGAAGTAGGTGGTCGTTCCCGTTGCAACGGCATCAAACTGCTCGGTCAGTAGCCACACCTCCCAAAGTAGTGTCAACGCATTCATAACCATCATGACCACGACCCAGAACTCCTCCCCCAACAACGTGAGCCATGATGACAAGCTGTGACTGCCCGCAGACATCTTGTCATACAAGGAATTTGCTGCCGTGAAAACAAAAAGAATGTGGGCAATCACCATGGAGAGAATGAAGAGGAGGAAGAGGCGGTGGTTACCCCGGCCGACACACCGGTTGAGGAAAAGGCAGTGGTGGTCATAGTCTTTAATGCACACGTCACATAACTTGCAGTGTTTTGTGTAGTCGGGCTGAAACAACTACGAGGAAAGCAAAGACAGGGTGGGGAGAAGAGCAACATTCTTGTTATATGATGTAGCCCATCAACGAGAAAATGTGCATCTTTAAAGTCTGAGTAGGTAACTTTACTGGGCTGACTGCCGGCAACGTTTACGATGGAACGGTAACTTGTAATGTAACTCAATGCATGAGTTGATGACCTGAATCCATCAACACACCTTAAAAACCAATGTGACAACTTTGACCATCATTTAAATTTTTATTGTCTCTCTTGGATGACATATCCTTTTACTAATGAGTGGATTTTCAAGTGTTTATGTATTTTAATTTTGACTGGATTATGTGAACTGCATTTATTCTAATCCTCACTTGGAGAAAAAAACAGCATCACAGAGCATCACTCCTGTGGATTCCTGCAACACTAAACCCCTGAGCTTGCCTGAGAAGGATTAATGCACAAATCCACTATTTTAAAATATCCCACGGAGAGAGACTCTCACTGCAACCTGTTTAATATTGTTCTGGAAATGTTGGTGTGCAATCTCATTCAGTGGACGATAAACAAGGTGCAGACTTTGCTGTGTGTCACTGGAGATGAGGAAGACGGAGGAGTGAGTGACAACAACCCCGCCCACATTAAAGGGTACTGTTTGCAGTGGAAACGGTATACTGTAGGTACTATGTCTGAAAGGTTACTTTTGGTTCCAAAGGTACCATACCGAAAGTGTTCAGTGGAGATGGGGCTATAGTGACAGTGTAAGCAAGCTTTTGGTCGCCTACGCTGTTGTTGGCAGTGCAGTGTGTGCACAACCAGTTACTGACACTGCATTAGAGACTCCTCTTGGCTCTGATTGGTTGTTTTCATTCAGGCTCAGTGAATTCTTGCAGATCAAGCATTAAGAGGAACCTTTTTTTTTTCACAGAGGATCAGTCTCATGTACTACTGTCAGAATATAGTAATGCTTCAGCAAATGTAAAAGGTTTTTTTTTGTTAGAAAAATTACCTACTGTGGCTTTAACTTTACCAGCAGCTTCTTTAGAAGCATACTGTGGGTTCTGTGTTTTATTTTCTACCTTTCAGAGACCTACTGCATTTGCATTACTGCTTTTCATTTCACTATTAGATGAAAATCAACTGGCAGAGAATTAATTACACATGAAATTATCACATTCATTGTGACATGTGAGATTTTGAAGGGGAGGACCATGTAAAGGGACGCACCGAGAGGAGAAGGGCTATACTTACATTTATCTAGATTCAGAAACTTATAACCAGATAGATAACAAGATACATTAGGTAGACGTGGGGGTATGCCAAACACTAGTATAAATGTCTTACCTCACAGTATGGACAGAACCTGTGAGGGCTCTGGTTGTTCTCCACCAGGTCAGCGATACAGGAGAACCGAGGGTTTGCATCTGCTCTGTGCAGTGTCCCAGGGTCCTGAGTTAGAACCTTACAGAACAAACCGAGCACTAGGGAGAAATGGACCATGGACACCTGGACCAGAGCACTGGTTGGCCACACACATTCAAAAGGTTAAGGATGAACCCTTGTCATTTAATATACTGAATCTTAGAGTACCCTTGCCTTTACTGTGTATGTCTGAGTGAGCAGGACAAATAGGAGAGCACTGGCCAGTTTAAAATGTTCATAAGAAAGCTTGAGGCGAGTCCAAAATACTAATGTATTCTTAAGGGCGCATTAATGTGCTTATCAAATGTCACTGCACTATGCCCTTTAAAGTCTGATATTCATGGAGTACAAGTGGAAATTGGTGAAACTGGAGGAAAGGTCAAAGGGAAACAACCTCTACGGACTAATCAGAAGTCATTTCCTGAAAATCCAACATTACTTTTAAAACACCTTATCTTATTAATGGATAGTGAAAAGGCAACCAGATGGCGTTGGTGGAGGGAGACAAAGCAAGAATAGAAAGAAACGGAAATTATTTAATAGGTGATTAATTATTCACACAATATTATCACATGTGTATATTTTATTCTATCGATATTTCATTTTTAAATATCACGTTCACGTTAATATTGATATATCACTACACCTCAAAATATGGCCTTTTGTTGAGATACTATTCTCCGAACCAGAGTGACCAACCAACATTGAGGTTCTTATGCCATACTGCTAACAGGGCAAAAAAAGCCAGATGATACAAAAGCATGCATGGACATTAGACTTAACGTGTGCTACATTCGTGAAGGATATTAGGCATTATTTTCCCATAGAAGCAGAGCAGAGAGTGGAACAAACCTGCTATGAGGGTTCCCAAGTAGACCGGGTTAGGTAACCTGAGAGGAAGACAGATGAGATTTAACAAACAGTGAAATATGCTGACTTACTAATAAATATTTCACATGTACAACATTTTTTATACAACCTTTGATATGTGGTCATGCGGTGGTACTGCGTAAAGATGCTTCTGGCCAGCCAGGGGAAGAGCAAACCACAGGTTAGCCCCCCATAGCCTCCCAACATGGCTGCTATGAGCAGGATGGCAGCCCCGCTCAGGGTCGGAAAAAACAGTGTCCAGTAATACAAAACTAGAGAAAAAGACAAACACACAAAGATGTGTGAGAATCTCAACACATAAATGCACATTCAGCATTTGTTACAGCTCTGTTATGATCATCGCCATTGTCGTCATCATAATCATTACCCTTGTTTTCATCCCTATATGAATGATCATAACTCCAGAGTAATATTCACCATGAGACTCTCTGGGCTTGTGGTGTATAGGCTCATTAATGTACCGACTCAGTAGCTTGGTGAGTTGCTGATGTCTGGAGAAAAACACACAGTATAGCAATGTTTTAATCAGCATCAGGATCCCAAGAGACAAAAGTAATCATGAAATGTGAACATACTGGATATCTATAGGTACTGAGGGGTGTGACTGTCTCCATGCAGTGCTCTGCTAGTCAGTGTTTTTTTCCAGAGATTTCTAAACACAGCAGAATCACCTAAATGTTTTCCCCTGTTTGCTGAGGTCCAGTGGTGTGAGGCCGCTGTGGTTCTTCACATAGAGCATCCCGCACCCTGTTCTCTGCAGCAGTGTCCAGCACACCTCCACTCCGCCCCTCTCTGCTGCAACGTGAAGCGCTGTTGCTCCCTGCTGGTCGGCTGCATCCACAGCACATCTCTGAAACAAAAAAAAACACAACATCTTGAAGCAGCTGTACACCACAAGCCGGTCACATCTGCACTGGGCATGATAAGATTTAACTGATCTTTTGCCCAAGTACGGATGCAAATCTTGTAACTGTAAATGTTGTGCTGGGTGTGCACTGAGCTTATTTGCTGAAAATGTCTTCCTACAGTTTTTGAGTGGTTAATAATAGTGACCATATTGTAAATGTGTGGGATTATGACCCAAAACAGTGGGCTAAAAGAGCTACATGCAGCTAAAAGTTAAGTTGCAGTACACTGTTGCTTGTTAATTCTCAGTGGGTGCAGCAGTAATAGCTACACTTTCAAATCCTCTTCATTAGACTCAGTATTAACATCAAAAACATTTTAATGTAGATTTAAAACTTAAAGATAAAGTTTAATCCTACTGTGGGCCAACTGGAGCGAGTCAGTAAGTAAGTGAGTGAGAATAAAGATTGTATCATACCTGGTCTCTGAGCAAATACCGGACCACCTCTGTGTTGCCCGTGGATGCAGCCAGGTGAAGCGGTGTCACCTGGTGCATATCTGTATCTGTGAACCGGAACATTCCTGTCTCCCACAAATAGTGCACTGCAACACTGGCAAAGATAACTAACAGTTAGTGCATGCGTTGTATATTAGGTGTGACTGTGCAGCCAAACAAATACAAGACAAAAACAACTTTCATCCCTCTGTCAGTGAGTCTCCTGAACCCAGGACATAAGGAGGATGTGCATTAGACATGTATGAATGCAATGTATGTTTGCACTTTATGCCGCATTTTATGTCTGTTCCTGCACTATGCACTATTTTTATGTGGCAACCTTTAACTCCAAGACAAATTGCCCTGGGGACAAATAATCTTGAACTATTTGTGATGTGTTCCTCCACTCACATGCTGCCCCCACTGACTGCATGATGCAGCGATGTTTTCTGCTGCAGGTCTATGAGGCGCAAATCAGCTCCATACTGCATCATCTGGTGTATGATATAGATGTTCCCCTGCCTGATGGGAAAAGCACAAACTGTTATCACACAAGATGAAGCGCAGAGCAAAATGAATCATCCTCACATCTTGGCATTGTCACCTCAAGAATCCAGGCATGTTGGAGACCTAAATATACACCAACTGCTCACCTGCAGGCAAAATGAAAGGCTGTCTGTCCTGCATCACACGTCAGGTTAGGGTCAGCTCCATTAGTGAGGAAAAGGTCAACCAGGCCGCGGTTCCCATGGAGGGCAGCGTAGTGGAGCGGGCTGAAGCCACCCCAGCCTGTGTGAAGACAAACACACACACATCACAGTCAGATCTGCAGTTTTTGTGACTAACAATATAAGCCTGACGTAAATGCACGGTCTGTCAGCCTGTTGATCGCTGAAACTCTCTGGAGCTGGGGTTTGGGTTCCCTTTGGCACAATGTGACTTTGTGCTGTGTTGTCACAGGATCTGTCCATCTCGATCTGTGCCAGAGGAGCTGCAGCAGGGTTCGGTTTCCCTTTGGCATTGTAACAAAATCACAGGAGACACTGGAGCACCATAAAGTGTAAAGTGGTCCTTTGAGGATAACATAATGTCAAACTGGAAAACTATGTGCACAGACAGATTTCATAAGGCAAAGTGTGAATTACACATATATGACATGTTGTATGTAACAGGTTTGTTCACTTGGAGAACAATATCCATCAGCAGTTTTCTGGCTTTAACTGAGAAAAACAGGAAATAGCATCACTGACAGTTAAAGGCTCAAAACTGTGCATGCAGTCAGGAAGTGGTGACCTGTGGTTTCACAAATATGCTGCAAATAAAAGAGCAACACTGACCAGATCAATATTCTTATTGCATCTTATTCCACCTTACCTTTTTGCTTGAGAACTGATCGGTCATTTTGCACGAACTGTATACACTGTTCAATATTTCCTCTCTGTATACAGTCAAATATGTCTCCACCGCTGACGGCGCACACAGGCATCGGATGCATGATCATGGGTGCACAGCTTCGGCCTGCCTGCTGTCACTCCCACTGACACAAACTGCAGCGGAAACAAAAATCACCTCCCCGGACGAAGCGCTACAACATCATAATGTAAGGTGAGACGGGGGATCATCTTTCGCTGCAGAGTAACGGGCAGCTTTCATTGTGCTAAACTGATTGAGGAGGCAGACCACGCCCTGGACACCTGATTGGCTGCGTTGAGTCACATGACCGCTGATGCGACTCGCGTCAACAAAACACGTGGTGCCTATAAATAAGGTAACACCTTAGAAATGAATTAGCAGTGTGTCATCATACAGTCAGAAAAATAAGGGGTTGGGATTTTAAAAAAAACATTTATTCATAAAGACCTCTGAAATGGGAGCTGTTGTGGCTCGCGCGGGATAAACGTCACTGTATCCACTGCACGTGCTGTCAGCTTATAAAGTTAGTTGACACTGCGGAAACAATGAGAGCACCATAGTGACGTTATCAGCTCCAGGCAACACCGAGCAGGCCTGCACATGCAGAGGGAATAAAGTGGCTTGACAATTGGGTTAACGTGCCATGGAGCTCGTGAGTTGTTTGACTTAAGGTGATGGTGTTTCCTGGTGGAGGTAAAGGTGAAACAGAAGGTGTAACGTTACAGAAACTTGTGTTTACTTCTTGTTATTTAATTCTACAGTCTCTTTTCTTTGTGGACATTTTGATATTTCACACTAGGTGAAGATGAATGATAGCTGTGTTCAATTTCAGTGCCCAAATAAGCCACTGAGATAACATGCACTATACAAACACAGGAAATCCAGTTAGGGACTGTGCTTAACTTATCAGGGGAGGGGGGTGGCTCAGGTTTGACCTTGACTCTCTCCTAAGCTACAAATAGTTTTCTTTAAACTCTCCAGATTGACAGGGGAAAAATACACGACCCTCCCTCCACCACAACTAACTATATTTTTTCATCACCAAATGTAGGCAGCCTACAAGACTACATCATGTGTGAGGCGTTCAAGGACCATCAGAATTTGAAAACCTGACAATAATTTCTGTTTTTACGGTATCTAGCTATGATATAAATTGTGCAACTCTGTTGATTCTTAAATAAAACATGCCTTTAAAGCCTGCCAGTAGATTTCTGGTTCAGAGGCCTTTTAAAATAAATAAAAAAATACAACCATTTAAAGTTGTATGTCCCTCCCCAAAGTCAAAATAAAAAACACAAGTCCCTCCCCAGTGCTTAAACATAATTTGACATGCCTCCCCAATTTGGCACCACCCCTCCGCCCTAACAAGTAATGAACAGTCCCTTAACAACTAGCATGGCTGCATCATCTATGTCACTGGTTACACCTCTACTTTTCCTGCTGAAATGTTTTAAGGTTGTCTGTTTCTGGAACATTTTTGTCTCTCAGTATCTGGCTGTTGTTATATTTCTATATCATTAAAATCCACAAGATGGCGCTGTTTAGCTAAATTATGTTAGCACTGCTTTGATGGTTCTATGTTACCAGTACAAATCAGTGACTCTAATCAATGAAACAAGCAGTAGTTTTCCAGTTTCATTGCATTTACACTTAGTGGTGTACTGGATGTCATATTGGGTATACCTACCTCTTCTTTCTGGCCATTTACAGTATACCCACCTATCAGCCGAAAGCCATTGGAAGACATAGGAGAGTACCTACTTTTCCTCTGAAACCTACCATCTAGCTCATAATACCCCACCTCATCAACTACTACTACTACACCACTGGTTACACTCCATAGGCATTTAAACAACACTCACCCACTCTTTATGACTGAAGGCCTAATACCTGTACCAAATGTAAAAAACAGAAAACAATTAAAAAAAAAAAATCAACTAAATATATTTCCACTAAATTGATCAGTTTTTCATTACATACTAACCAAATCAGTTTGTTTCCTGATTCTGTGAAAGGTTTGTTTACCTCTTAGACGCAGTAAAACTGCCTGTCTTTCTAGTTATTTTCAGCAGACAAGCACAAACACAATTTGTTCTTAATCATTTCACCGACAAGTCAAAACCTCTCTCTCTCCACCTAAACCTGTTATTACATGCCGTGTTTGCCAGCTTCTTTGGTTAATCATGGGATCGTGTCACTGTGATTCATATTATTCCAGTCCAACATGACACGTCTATAAAAAGCAAAGGGACTCTTCTTTGAGCCATTGTGGGAGGGCCTCATCCAACCAGCTAAACAACAGTTTTTCACTTCTGCTTCTCTAAGGAAGTAAGAAGGCACATGACCTGGGCCAGCTGATTTGAGTTGCTCTGCTTGTTCAAAGTTCAGTCTGCCTGATGCAGATTAGTGAGGGGTGGGTAGTTGTACAGAGAGGGTCGGCACAGTGGGTGCTAGTCATATCTTAGCAGGTCTCCACTTGTCACTCCTCATGACATGGGAATGGAGACAGACCACTTATTCAGTTCAGAATAACACAGCACAGATGACAGCTTCCTCTTAGCTTGGAAAATCCCAGATGGCTCTCACACAAGTACAGGTAAGAGGACTAAACTGTGTGTTGCATGAATAATTCTTCTGTGTAAATGTGGCAGAACTTCACTTTAACATACTTGATTGTATGTCACTGTCAGCAGAGGGGTGAGGTATGTGTTGCTTGCATTTCACAAGTAAATAATGACTTTGTGTGCCCTTGCGCCTTCTTGCTATCTCACACACTGCACACAGCACACTCACATGAGGAAAACATCAAAGTATTGTATAAGAATTTCTAAGGAATGTGAGCAGCCTTTCCCGTCACTTACCATCATAACTGATTCTACTGGCCCTGGCTTATCAGTTTAGCAATCCGCCTCTTCCAACGCCCCTCATTGTACACCATGAATGTGTGACACTAAAACAAAGTGCTAAAAATAATACCACTGTAATGAGGAAACAATGTTCTAGTCAAAGCCCCAGTCGTACAGTAACGTGTGCTTGAAGCAGTGTGACACTTATTAGTAGCCTACTGTGTGAAGGAGGTAGAGGAATTTTATTTCACATGATGCATAACGTTTGCAATATTTGCAAGACTGAAAGGGACAGAACACACTGGGGTTTTGATTTTGTCAGGACAAAAGGTCACTATGTTTTGCATATGTGCACCTCCGGTTGTCACATACTTTCACTTATAAGTGCGAGGACTGATTTGGTATTCTCAAAGTGCTTCACAATTACTGTTGAGTAAGTATTGCACAGGAGAAGAGGAAGGAATGCGAACAAAAGGTGTAAATCATCAGTGGTAACCTGTTGCAATAGTGGATTTACAGCATGAAAAGCTTTTAACATTTCCTTCTGTTATGTGCTTCTGATTACTGAAAATTGGGCATGAGTTAAACTGCTCAGATCACTCACAGGGGTTGGTAACCAGTTAATAAAATGGCACATGACGGCCTGTGGTCTGCTCTTCTATCTGATGATTTCTCAATGCAGACAGTGTGCTGTGTGGCTAAACGGAGGAGGGCTTGGATAAATTTGTTTGAGGAAGTGAGGCAATCTTAGGAAATGTGATTAAACAGTATTTGGGATGTTATGTAAACTCAGAGTATCTATAAAAAGATGGAACAATCTGAGGATTTCTCACTTCTGGCTCTTTTTTTTTTTACCCTCCAGGACCAGCTTGCTAAAGGGGAAAGGATCAATAAGGAAACTGGAGAGCTGAGTGCTTCAGGGGAGTTATCTGTCTCTGTGGAGTTGAAGGTGGAGAAAGTGGAGGGCTCTTGTGGGAACCCTCAACTCTCACAAGTGCTCAGAGAACAACTCCAAGCACTGGGAGTTCATGCATGCTCGAGCCCTGACCACAGGACTGACTATGTTCCTTTGGAGCAGAGAGAGGAGCATCTCATCAAAGTCCTGCCTCTCTACATACAGGTATGGACCACTGGGACAAGAATATGTGCCGATGGTATTTATCTCTGTTCATCTTATTCATCTGTTCATCATTTTCAGACTTACATTAGCAGTTTATTAATCAGTATTTTGGTTAAAGCTTTTCTATTGTAAATCTCTTCCATCAAATAAATAGAGACCAAAAACTTGGGAATCATTAAAGGGATACTTTGCCGATTTTCAGCACGCTTTGTATATATAAATGAACTATGGAACTTCCCTCCATCTTGCAGTGACCAGATCTCCCTGCTCACTTGCCAGTAAAAATGTGCTGGATGTTGAGTTTCGGGATTTTCGCTGGCTCTAAGACTGTGGCTCAAGCTATAGATTGTACTTCCTCATTTTTGTACGCCTGCCGCCACCATGGATACAAAGTGTATAGAAGTGGATCGAGAGAGAGGGGAAGACCAAACTCAAATTAAACTGCAAAACTTGGCAGTGCTAGTCAAATATAAACCACGATTCTGTTACTGTATTGCCTGTTTTGTGCCCTAAAATGTTCTCATAAGCATGTTTTAGTGTGCTGTTTAGCTGAGAGTTTATGAAGAGGGAGTGGGTGCCATACTGTTTCCTGTATTGTGAAAAAACAAAGGCTGAAAAACTGAGATTAAACGGTAAAACTAAGCAGCACTGATCAAATACAGTCTGTTTCTTGGCCATTTTTTTTAGAAACATAGTTTAGCTAACTGTTTAACTGTAATAAGAGATCGTTTGTTACCAGCCGGCTGCCATATGGCTTTTGGACGCAATATGGCAGCAGCGGGAGTGTTTATTGGTCCGATGTGGCACAATGCATTCTGGTAATTGTAGGTTTTCTACCTCTTGAGCAAAAGGTTCCACAGCCCTTTTTCCTCTGTTTTCTGTGGTCATGTAGCACCAGTTTTAAAAGTATTACCATCTTTCTCCTGCATAGACAACCCAGCATTGTGAAAAGACCATGTTTCCACCAGCAAACTACTTCTTTAATGGATCACGACAGGATAATTTAAAGTGGAGCCACAGTCTGAATTAATACCCATCCATGAAAAAAGGTTAAATGGATACCTCAAGACACTGTGGTTTCCAAAACTGCTTCAGACCACTTGAGTGAAACAACATGAGTCGGCAGTCAGATGTTTGGCCCTCAGCTGCATCACTGTCCTTTGAATGAATGTGTGTGTGGTTTCCTAGTAAAACAATACGGTTTGCTGAACTGTCCCATGAAATACAAAAGCGCTTCAGATTCGCCGCTTCGGGCATCGATTTGATTAAGTGGAAGAAGAGGAATTTCTCATTCTCAGTGCCT